TAATGTGTGCAGTTCAGTGACCAACACCCAGGGGTGGAGTTCAAAATGCAATCGTATAAGTAAAATAGCTTCAAATAAACTAACTTAGCTCACCAGTTTGTATGAGAATAGCGTGGAGCAACCACTCGAAATAGAATGCCGACGTTGAGATTACGTCGATGACCGTAAGTGGTGAGCGAAGGAAGCGTCGCATTGACGGGCAAAACAGTAGACGAACAAACTGAAAAGAAACATTGCTACGAGAATGGCCTGGTAGTACTGAGAAGCTTCAAAATTTTTTGCTGTAATATGTATTTTAATGTATTTCTATTTATTTGATTTCTATTAATATATTTCTATTTAATTTTTATTTATTTATTTCCTATTCTTTTGTGATTTTTAGTCCAGCTCACGCTTCACTCCTCCACGATGTAGTTCACTATTTTTTGTAGATGCAATGTTAGGTTCTCAATCGTAGAGGTCGTGTCACTTTTGGACCTTAATACGCGTCACAAAGACACTCGGATATCGTGGCAATGTCTGATTTTCATCGTTTCGCTGAACTGCTAGGCTTTCTACTCTCGGATCTCTTCCCCTCCTTCACACCCACTATATCCTACCTCGTTGTCTGCCTCTTGAGCCAGTCCACAGTGTGGAATAAAAAGCTCGTATTTTCGGTGTTTCACGGCTCTGTTCCTTGAATCTTCGTCTGGTGGTTCAATTTCTGTTTCCGTCGTCGAGTAGAAGAGCCACATCAATTCAATCATTGGGTGCACCTTTGAGGCATGAACTAAGCAAGGATCCGTGGACCTCACAATATTTGAAAAGAATCATAATAGTGAGAAAAAATTACTTTTCGGCAGGGATTAGTTGTATCATGAAAAGGAATCTTGAACACTCATTGGATTTTTAGTGGCCATTCTGGCCGATTTCATTCTATCAACGCAGGTCTTCGTTTTACCGCATCTAGGCCTTCCAAATAGGTGCTGAGAAAACGGTTGTGATCACTACGATATTGTTGCGCGTGGTGCTCAACTACTCGATTATACGGGAAAGAAGAATCAACAGAATCAAAACTTAGTACGCCCCAGAAACCTTCTCTAAACCAAAGCATGCCTATTCTTGCAGTGGACCACGATGTTTAGAGTGATATATTATTCCCTATTTATATTACTAAAATCAAAACATCCCACAAAACTATGATATTATTGAATGGCAGACAATTATTTGCTGGCAGCCCACATGGCTGGCCTCGGCGTGAATGTGTTAAGGACTGGAAAAGCATGTACGGAGTGTCGGGCTTGATAGAAAGACAACAGCAGCGATATTGGCGGCTTATTTGCAGTTACCAATCTCCATCAATTCTGCGTCCGAGAAGTATCTAGTTGGGTAGGTGAAGCATCCGTTGTGTAGAGTCAAAAATTCGCCAGCACCACGCCCTCCCCCCCTCCACCAAGTCAACCCTATCCGGTGTTACCCCTTTGGAAATTTTTTACGACCCCCCCTTCATGGGTGATTTGATACGACCCCCTTGTATGTGACACTTGTGTAGAGACAGTGTTTACCATCAATATTTATTTCTACGTAAGTCATCAAAGATGAAACTTTAGCAAAATCCACGACAGATATTCATCGCTGCTTCCAAACACGAAAAAATGAGATGCATTCAAAGATATCCGTGTACTCCAAAGGGTTACCAAACCAACTAGGAGATGAAATAAACTGAACCAGTGACCGGAATATTGACAATATTACCTGATAAAAACTTATGAGAAGTCAGAAAAAATTATCGCTCCAATTGAAATACTGAAATCCTTCACGTTCTTCAATTGCAACACAATTTTTACACCCCTCTTTCTAAGGCTATAACTTCCTTCATATTCGAGCTTCTGCGCCGAAGTGATTTGATTTGGAAAATTCAAATTATTCTCTCTCCAACCATGGGTAAAAAATCTTCGAAAGTTATTCTGTGCAATATGCGAACTTTTTGACTTTAAACAATGATTTTGACTTGTTTTTGTTTGTTAACTGCTGTTTTGGCCGCAGTTCGCCTTGCGAATGTTTCACAAGAATGCTGGGTTGTGAACAAAACTTTCGCCCCAGGCGGGACTAGAACCCGCACCTCTCGCTTTCCGGGCAAGTGCGCTACCAGTTACGCTACCGGGGCACCATTTCATCCCAACTCAGCTTTCATGGTAGTATACCGTAATAATGTACTATACCATGAAAAGCTGAGTTGGAATGAAATGGTGCCCCGGTAGCGTAACTGGTAGCGCACTTGCCCGGAAAGCGAGAGGTGCGGGTTCTAGTCCCGCCTGGGGCGAAAGTTTTGTTCACAACCCAGCATTCTTGTGAACATAACTTCGTTTAAGCATTCGTTATACGAAGTCTGAAAGGTTGGCAAGAACTAACAGAATCCAAAGCTCTTAACGAGCACCCAAGCGTTCCTGAAAGAGGCAGTAGTTTCAAAATTAGTCCCGTTGTTACTTTTTTGGGGGTTTGCGTTACTATTTTTTCTGGAACCGCGACTTTTTTTTTTTACCTTCAAACGATCATAACTTCCTTCAAAGTCATTCATTTGGGAAGCTGAACACGGTATGACAAACTACAGGATTCAAGCTTTCTTACGAGCACCAAACGTTCCTGAAAAGTCAGCAGTTCAAAAATTAGTCCCGTTGTTACTTTTTTTGAGGGGTATTCTTCAAGCCATTTTCCCGAAAACGCGGGTTTTCTTAGGTTTCACTGCCCGTAACTTCTTGGAAGACCAATGTCATGTTTAACTTAGGATGTGCTAGAAAGCTCGAGCATGCGCTTGCACTACATCCCTTGCCTTGGTGCGCGCCACGCCTCGGGCGCCCTTCTAATTCGCTGATTCATTTGAAAGCTCATTTAGAGGGAATCGTGGTTTATAGATGCTCTATTGGGTTGGTGCATAATATCGTAGCGCTTGCATTTTTCATTTTTGCACGCAAACGTTTTGTGAAGAAATTAAAAACATAAAACTAATCAGGGATGTCCACTTTGCCATTATTTACGACTTTTATCCTATTTTGCAGAAAGTCACTGGATTTGGAATTGAAAAAAATGTTGGGCTCGCTCTCGAAGTCCTCATTATTTCGCAATTTGTACGACATGAATACGGTCTTAATTTGAGTGAAATATGTAGGGTTGGTTAGAGAGAGGTTCGATAAGAACAATGGATTCTGAAGAACTTTTGTTTTGACGGTATTTTTTTCTTTATGTGAACTGAAAAATAACAGCTGTCGAAATGCCGATTTCTGCCGTCTGGATTTTCCAACTTCTAAGCATTATGTATGAGTACAAATATAATTTTGAGGGAAATGACGAAGTAATTTTTGTAGAGCGAAAAAAGCACTTTCAAAAGGTATAGGCGATTTTTAGGGTTTCTCTTGTACTGATTGAATTTACACGCCCAAAAAAACGCTACGAAATATTATGCACCAACCCAATATATCGTCATCTTACGATATCGTATACGCTGCTGAACTATATCCAATATTACCAAGATCCACTGCCCCACCGAAGAGTACATCCGCCTCTCCGTCTCAACTGAGCACCGGACCTCACCCCTCCCCCCCCCTTGTTGTTACTCGTAACAACGTAGGGTTGACCCTGCCCCCCACCGCTCCGAGATTTCGATACCCCTAGTCACCCAACCACCACCCCATTACCTTCTCATCGCAGTGGCAGTTTCTGTAGTATCACACTCCCTAGAAAATCGCCTACGACTCTCCTCTCTCAAGTACAACAAACCGGATCTTGAACTTCCACCACCGCGACTACTCTCCTCCCTCTCTCCAACTCCTCTGTCACCTCATTCTCGACGCTTGCTCTTTTAATACAGTAGAGCTGAAAACGACCCAGCCATTTTAAACTCCAAATTCACTTAACCTTAAAGGAATCTTCCACGGACCATGGACCAGTGGGCGGGACCGGAAGTTTTTGTGACGAAATGCATGGTAGGTACGGATCCACGTGTCGAACGCACGAACGTGAACAGGATTCACTTCAAACCTTCCCATGAACGTGGATCCGTACCTACCATGCATTTCGTCGCAAAACCACTTCCGGTCCCGCCCACTGGTCCATGATTCCTGGAAATGTCCTTACAATGTAGGCGGTTGGCCCTGATTGCATACACCGGAGAGCTTTTACTCTCCATTGTATTTTATTTTTTTTGTCATTAAAGAAGCTATTTTTTACTAAAGATAATGACTCGCTATACGAGTCTGTTACCTTTGATTAGTGAAAGGATAACTTGTTGATGGTCTGAAAGTAGCGACTGCAATAACTTGATTTTAGGGTTTGCGCCTATGTAATAAAGTTTTGCAACTGCAAACACGGAAGCAGACGTGGAAGATTATGATACTGAAAGAGAAACCAGAGTTCCTCTCTCATGGGTAGTGACGCCTAGCCAATAATTACTCACATACCGCCTTTAGTAAGCCCATAATATCTGGCGAAAGTATTAATGAACAAAAAAAAAACACTTATATTAGTGATGAAGTAAGAACAGAGTATTTACTATGAGATGTGTATTTAGTCTGAAAGAACTAGCAGTGCAGAAGCTCACCAATTCCAGTGTGAACCATGAGTTACAGATGAGATCGACGTAGAAGAAATACGGGTGAGGGGCGGTGTACGGTTTGTGAGTGCCGATCGCTTTGGCGAAATTCGCAAAACCATCGCTCTCGAAAAGTCGTAAGCCGTACGTCACTGTAAGCATCATATTAAACAGATTAAGATGGAGGGATTTTGTTGAAGACTCAATCTGAAGTTCTGTTGCCCCTGAATAAGTAATAAAAAACTGAAAGCTCAGTACATTATTGCAGGTGTTCTTTTTTCAAAGCAATAGCCGAGGACTGCCATTGAGTTCTCAGTAACCTCGACCTAAATGGCATACCTACCGATTGTTATGTTTATTAGGTATCGCGACCGGCAAGTGCGATGCATGTCGTAAATAATAATGGTATCTATGGGCTCACAAAGTTCACTGATAGGTCTCATTTCTCGAAACCTTCGGAGTACACCAAGCGTTAAACTATGTCATCAATGCGCATTTGACCTATACGAAAACTAAGGCCAGCCTATTTTGAAGTACGTGCTTCTACACACGACCTATCTACAACATGTTGGGTCCATCCTAGCAACGTTTGAGGGAAAGACGGTCTGATTGAACCTAAAATAAGCCGAGCAACCGTGTTGCAGCAGCGAGAGTTCCTCAAATCTTGTCTTTGTAAGCCTCACGAGGAAAGGTCACCAGGTCTAGGCGGTCAGCTAAGAAGAAGGAGACGGCTACATTCGCTTTAAGACGCTGAGTTCATATCTGCTTCAACAACTGCTGAAAGGAAATTCCAATAGCGAAAACGCGCAGCGGTATTCTTCTATACAGTGCGTTTCAAAAGTATGTGCACACCCTCAAAATTCACGTTTGAAAGGGAACCATGAGGTTTCGTGCTATGAAATCCTTCTCAATCGATTTCTCGTAGTCGATAACCTATCAATGGAAGCAAAGCAGATAATATCGCCTCACTTTCGAAAAAAATTTTGGATGAATTTTTTTCTTTGTTTCAAAAGTATGTGCACACTTAACAAAAGACAAAAACATAGCTGAGATTAGAAATCAGTGGGGCCTCCAGAGTTTCTAATTAGCTCAAACATCCTGTCCGGCATAATCTGAACCACGTTTGGCATAGCTGTTTCGTCGCTGTCGGCCAAATAGCCTCTACCGCCGCCTTCAGTTCATCCGCGGTATTATACTGCCGGTTGCTAAAGTTAACGCCTTGATCAAGGGCTCCCTATAGGGTTGCAGTAAGGAGGACACACAAGCCAATCTATGCTTCAGCACCATTTGGTTAAGGGCCATTCTTTGGTAGATTGCGAAGCATCGAAAGACACGTGGTCCTGTTGCTAAAAATGCAATTTTCGCTCCGCTTCGCTAAGGAAAGGCAACAGGTGACATTGGAGCACTGCTTGGTATTCTTTACAGTTCATACGCAATAATGGAACGGCAACTTCTGAATTTCCGCTGATTGCGAAACCGCCGCAGACCCATCAACGGGCCTCTTCCGAAATTCCTTCTCGAGAGCACGAGCGACTCACGGCCAAGCCTCTCCAGTAGTAGCAAAATCCACCCGGCCCGTCAAGATCGAACTCTTTCCATGAGTTAAGATTACCTGAGGAGAGAAAGTCCATAAAAAGTTGCTTGTTTTGAAAATAGGAAATTCTCGAAAAACCGTGTCTTCGCCCGGTGTCCTATCCTATGTTGCCATGTCTGTACGAGCAGACTCCAATGTGGCTAACTTGTGCTGGGCCTTGAAGTGAGTAGCCTTTCTCAGCGTCTGTCGAGTGGTGTATTCATTTGAGCGGATGAGGGGCTTAGTGGTCATTTTCGAGGCTGGAATAAAAATCTGAGCTCGGACTGTCAATGAAGAATCCGACAGGATGTGGGCTACTCTTTTGTTGTTCTGAGCAGTCAAGGATCGTGGATGGAGCGGAGTGTGTGCTGAGTATAATTATCAGGGTGCCAGATAAATCTTCGAATGCATTAAGGAGAACGACCAAGTTATCGTGCGATTTCTAGATTGGAACGTTCATTATCATGCAGAACCTTGATCTGAGCTTGCTCATCTTCAGGAAGAAGTATGGCGCGAATTGACATGATGACGAAATGAAAACAGCAAAGTCGGATTGAAATCGGTGGGAAATTCGGCGCCAAAATCTGATCTTCTTCAAGTGTGCACATACTTTTGAAACAAAGAAAAAAATTTCATCCAAAAAATTTTTCCGAAAGTGAGGCGATATTATCTGTTTTGCTTCCATTGATAGGTTATCGACTACGAGAAATCGATTGAAACGTAAACCCATGGTTCCTTCAGACGTGACATTTTGAAGGGTGTGCACATACTTTTAAACGTCGCACTGTAAAAGACTTCTGATTAGCTCAACCTTAAAGGACGAATTCACGCTGGAAAGGCAACCCATTTCAAATTAACCTAGCGATGGTGAGTGGTACACGAAAGAAGGAAGAACCATGAGAAACGGCCCAGAACCCGAGAAATGGACCCCTTCCTTGCCCGTTGATTTGAGCATTGATGCGACTCTCATCGCTGTGCCCTCTTCAACACTACGCTCTCTCACCTATCTAATCACTCGCCACGTATAACCTGCGGCGAGTGATCAGATGATCGGTGGGCGTGCACTGGCCCACCGCGCCAAGATTGAGCCTTAATAGTCGCCGAGTGTCAACTCCGCTTCAGTCCGCACCCTTAGGAGGTTCGCGGGTCCCTCAACTACGTGAATTGGTCCTTCTTTGATTCTCAGTCTAACGTTCGTCCTTTAAGTTGGCAGGGTCATTTTATTTTTGTTCTATCTGTTCCCAGTGATGGTATGACTTATTTCTCCCTTGAAGAACCTTGCAAGGACGATAGCCCCTTCTCAATATCGTTCACAGTAAAAATGGTGCTCACCTGTAATTTGCGGTATTTGGAAAGATGGATGCGTCTTGAGCATAAACGATATCGTCGAGGCAAGAATGAAGAATACAGAGCAACAAGAGATGATCTGCAATTGAGAACAGCGAATGCACAAACTGTCCCGTCGGGGAGACACATCAACAGGCACTGAATCAGCCGTTAACTTAGATTAGTACGAGAAAAGCGTGTTCGTAGTGCGATGATGACAGGTTCTGGGGACAGAGTTTACATTTCATTAGAAAATTCAGGGACAAAGCCAAACAGCCCTATAAGGTATGCTATTTTGTTTTAATAGCTCGCGTTGTTCCAGAGGCTTTCCGCTCATCCCTGATTCGTGTGCATTCAGGAAAGGTGAAGCGTCGTGACAGGGTGAGTGCTGCGGTGACAGAGATGCTAGTGCCGCTAGGAGACACAGGAAGTGAGCTATCAAAGCATATAAAATTAGGATTAACTAAAAACACAAAACATAAATCACTAGGATGTTGAGCATGCAATTAAGGCACATGCACATGCAATCGAGCTCACAATTCGACGGAACACAACATCGGTACAATCGGCGTACTAGGAGCAAAATGTGGTGGGATAGAGGAAAGGGTAAAAGAGGGATATCGTGATATCGTATTGGAACGTGTACGTGGTCAAAAACATTGAAACCCATGGAATCGAATTTGTTGGGTGATACTGATGAGACGTGTG